CGGCCCAGAGCCGTGGCACCCCACATCCAGTGCCGTGGCCAAGGCTCGCTTCACGCTGCTGCGCTCCTCCCTGCTCTTCTCCATCAGCTACGAGCGGTGAGTCCTGCCCCCGTCCCCTGCCCAGCCCAGCATTGCAGGCAGCTCTCTGCAAAAGGGGGAATGCAAAACTGAGTGCTTGTGCCTCAGTTTCCCTTCTGATATTCCCCCATGGTGCCACAGCCTTGCACGGACACAGTGAGAGATTTGGAGAAGGGGGAGGCAGCATGCTGGGCTCCAGCCTAGGTCAGCAGCCAGAATTTCGGCACACCCACAGTGTCGGCCCAGCCTCACCCATTTGCCTCCAGATCTGGACTGGAAACAAACAGGAACAGTTCCAGGGCTCCCGTGGGTGCAGCTGGGAGAACTGCTGTGCCACCCTGCAGGCTCTGCCGGGGGCAGTGCCTTGGCACTGCTGCCAGGGTTCCCCATGCCCTCCCCGGATGCCCGCCAGCAGCACAGCCTCTCCTCTCCCTCCCTCATTCCCGCTCCAGTTTCTTCTGCTCTTCCTCGCTTCCAGGCCCCTTTGCATAGTAAAGTGGTGACTAATTTCCAGCTCTGACAGGGGGAGCCAAGCGGAGCCGAAAATGCTCCTTATTTACAGCCTGAACGCTCAGCTCCCAGCGGGTCCTGCCATGGTGCCTTTCCCGGCAGAGACCCTCATCCTGCTTTGTGCTGGTTAGACCCCACTCCAGGATAGGGGAGCCCAGAGAACCCTTGCCAAGCTGGCATTTGGCAGGACAGCAGTGTTGGGCTAGTCCTGGAACGGGCGGGCAGAGCCTAACACTGGGCACCCCAGGAGAACATCTTCCTTCTCCTGCCCCCCCAAAACCCCCGTGTGCCCTCCCTGACACAGCCCTGTGCCCGGTGCTGAGTGAGGGGAGGGGAAGGGCAGGTACGTGACCCTTGCTCACCCCCGGGTGCTCGCAGGCTGGGGCGGCCGAGCCGGGTGCGTTTCAGTGACCCCGAGGGTAACGTGCTGTTTGAACACCCCGTGCAGAGGAGCGCTGCCCCCGAGGATGGCATGGTGAGAGGGGCTGGAGGGCAGGGGGCATGGTGCCCCCTCTGACCCCTGCTGGGCTTGTGGTGCCCCCCAGCCTCTGCCCAGCCATTCCATCCATCACCCACAGCTCTGTGGGATGTGGAGGACAGTGTCCAAAGCCAACGTCCAGCTGCTGCGGCGGGAACAGCTCCGTGTGTCCCTCATCACCCGGGCACAGCCCTCCGGAGAGGTCCATGGGCACATCCTCAAGCACCGGGCACTCTTTGCAGGTGAGTCCAGCCACTGCATGCACACCCAGTGGTGCCACCAGAATGTCCCTCATGCCCCTGTCCCTGCACAGAGACATTCGGTGCCATCCTGACCTCCTCGAACCCCTTGCACTTGGGTGCTGGGGGCATGGCCATGCTGACACTGAGTGACACAGAGAACAACCTGCACTTCATCCTCATGGCCCGGGGACTGCTGGAGCCTGGAGCAAGAGGTGAGGGCGGGCAGGGAAGGGGAGGGAGGCACTGCCCACAGGGGGCTGCGTAGACCTGAAGGAGTGCATGGCATGTCTGCAGCTCAGGATGCATGGGTCAGCATCTGTGGGGTCAGGATGGGTGGCTGGGCTGGGTGTGGGGCTCAGGGTGGGTATGGAGGCTATTTGTAGGGTGAGGTGGAGGGTGAGGTGTGCATACAGTGTGTTGTGTGATTTGGGGTGCACCTGGTGGGAGGGGATGATGTGCACCTATGGTGGGGTGCTGGGGAGACTGCAGAGCATATGGGGTGTGAGGGTCATTGTGCAAGAAGGATAGGTTTGCAATGTGGGTTTGCAAGGATTTGGGGCATGCTGGAGGGAATGATGGGGGCCCAGACACACAGGGGCAGGCAACTGGCAAGAAAGTGCCAGGGGTTTGGAGGTGGTAGGCACAGAGGTGTAGGTTTGAAGTGGTTGTAGACCCCTGGTCCAGTGCGTCCACTCCCCTCTGCTATGTCCAGAATCCCCGTGGGTCCCACTGAGGGTCCGCATCCTGCACCAGGGCCAGACGCTACACGAGGTCCACGCCAACATCACTGTGGAGGTAAAGCGTTTTCATCCCCCACAGGCCCTGGCAGCCACAGTGCCAGAGCACCAGGGCTGATCCATGGCACTCTATCCCCCTGCCAGGACCCCGACTTTGCAGAGGTGCTGAATGACCTGTCTGCCCAGGAGCTGCAGTGGCTGGTGCAGGGGCAGCTCCGCATCGTGGCCGAGACGGAGGGGCAGCACGCGCGGCAGCTGGCTGGCACCATCACCACCCGCCGCAGCTGTGACAGTGAGCACAGGGCAGGCATGCCAGGGGGCAGGGGGATTGCTGTGCTCACCCCATGCCAATCTCACCCACCCTTGTGCCTCTCTCCCTGGGCTGAAGCCATCCAGAGTGTGCTATGCGGAGCAGATGCTTTGCTGCCGACCAAGACCGGGGCTGTGGGCTCAGCCAAGCTGGCGCTGCATGAGAATGGCACCCTGGAGTACCAGGTGAGTGGTGGGCACCCATTTCCCTCTCGAGGGTCTCAGGTGTATCTGCCACCCTGACACTGCCCTTTGGCACCGCACCCACAGGTGCAGGTGGTGGGCACTGCCAGCGAGGTGGTGGGCATCACACTGGAGACCAAACCCAGACGGAAAAGCAAGAGGAACATCCTGTTTGACATGACACCCAGCTACAAGGATGGGCTGGTGAGCACTGGCTGATGCTGGGAGGGATGGCATGGGGACTTTGGGTGAGTCCCTGTCCCAACCTGCATGGTCTCCCTGGTGGCAGGCCTGGGGTGCCTGGCAGAGCCCCAGCGCCCGCGATGCCCACATGCTTCTACAAAATGAGCTCTTCCTCAACGTGGCCACCAAAGACTGGGCAGAGGGTGAGCTGCGGGGCCAGATCATCTCCCTGCCCTACAGTGGACTGCTCGCCCGCTACACAGGTACCTGGGACACGTGGGGTGGTAACAGGGGCAGTGGGGCAGCCCTTCCACACACCACCACACCCTGCCACGGTCCCTGTCTGTGCACAGACATGCCCGTGGCGCTGGCAGGGCAGCTGGTNTGCTCTGGAGGAGACGTGGCACCCGGACCTGGGGGAGCCCTTCGGGGTGATGCGCTGCGTTATCTGTCACTGCGAGCCGGTGAGTGCCTCCGCACACCCCGTTCCCTGGGAGACCCCCCAGGACCCCGGCTGGCTGGGGAGGGGGCTGACGAGGAGGGAGTCGGACCCCTCTGTTCAATACACTCCTCTCATTCCCATGGAGGAGGGAAGCGGGATCCCTGCAGCCAGCCGGACACCTGGATGTCCTCCCCCGCGGCAGGGGGGAGAGAAGGGGGGTTTAAAGGATCAGGCTTCATTCTTCCTCCCCCTCCTCGGGGATGGCCTCCGGCCCCCTCCCTCCCTCCCTCCCTGCGAGCAGCTCCCCGAGGCCGGGGCTGGTGGGGCCACGCACAGCTGGTCAGGAGGCTGGGGGCTGCGGGGAGGGGGCCCTGGTTTGGCTGCCGTACAGGCATCTGGGGACTCTGCAAGGTGTCCAGGCTCCAGATGGAAAAAGATGGGGGAAGCCATGCTGTGCTAGGAGGGCATGACTTGGCACACCTAGAAATAGCCTGGCACACCTTGGCACGGCTCCTCTGGAGTCTTCTTGGCCCCCCACAGCAGAGGAACCACCGGGGGAAGCCCGTGGGGAAAGTGAACTGCAAGAACATGAAGCAGGACTGCCCCGTGCCTGCCTGTCCCCGGGCCACGCTGCTGCCGGGACACTGCTGTCACACCTGCCCCAAAGGTGAGGAGAGCGGGTGCTTCTCTGCAGAGAGCCCCCACCAGTTCCCCAGGATCCCCACTGGCCTGGGAAAGGGGGCAATGCACAGGGCCTGAAAAGGGCTGGTCAGTTTGTTATGAAAATCAGCAGTGCCCATGATAGGATGGGCAGGGGAAAGCCCTGATGGGAACAGCCTGAAAGGAGTGCGGGGGAGGCACACAGGGCTAAATGCCCTGCCTGTCCATGTGCCTGTGCACAGCACACCCCAGCTGAGAGCCTCACAGTGATTCACAGGGCACATCTTGGTCTGCCTCAAAAGGAGCGATTTATTACTGTCCCCCCACCCCAAGCTCTTGGGCACAAGCAGCCTGGTGTGATGGTCTCCTCCTCCTCCTCCAGAGAAGAGCCCTGCACTCCGGTTTGACACCTTGGAGTACTTCCAGGAGAAGGAGGATGACCTGGACAAGCCCTACAATGACCGCTCCTACCTGAGCTCGGAGGGCCTGGCTCGCGATGATGCNCCCGCCTTCCCCCTGCCGGGCGCCCGCCTGCCACGCACCCGCCACCCTCAGCCTCTCCCTGCCACTCTCTGCGGAGGTGGCAGCAGGGACGTGGGTGATAGGTGACACAAATCCCCCTCCCCTAAATTCATGCCTCAGTTTCCCCAGATGGATGATGCTTTGCCCAAACTTTTCCATGGTGCCTACTCACTGCCAACCTCTGCCACCCTTACCAGCCCAGGTGTGGGTGAAGAATGGGGCTGGTGCTGGGTGCTGCTCTCACAGCATCCCCCCTCCAGATGCCCCTTCCCTCCCTGGACAAGGGAACCCAGGCTCCTGTTCCCCTGCAGCCCCTGTCATTCGTGGGCAGGAGCCCAGGGTCCCATTCTGGAGCCGTTCTCTGCCCAGGGTGGGCAGCAGCTGGAGAAATTTGGAAATGTGGCAGGCACAAGCTGGAGGGGGTTGGCTGTGCCTTTGCAGAGAGCAGTGTGGACTGGGAGAGGCTGTTTTGGGAGCCCATGCTCAGGGGTTCTGAGTGGGTGGAGGAAGGGCTGGCTGCAGGGGAACAGTGGATGGACAGAGCCTTGCAGTGCCCTGTCCTGGGGTGCCAAGGGGCCTGGGAGGGGACTGAGTGCATGGAGCAGTCCCCAGGATGTCTGATGCCTGATGAATGGGAGGCAATGAGCCCTGGAAGAGCTCATGACTGAAGGTGGACTGTGTGGGTGTGGGGGCTCCAGGACGCCCTGTGCCCAGGAGATGCCCCATGCCGGGAAGACTGCACAGACTGAGGAGACTGGCATTGAGTGGGTGTGCCCTGAAATGCTTTATTCCCAAGGGGGGTTATCGGGATGAGGACACTCCTGTGGGGCTCATACCCTTGGAGAGGGGAATGTGAGTGGGAGCGTAGCTGGGATGTGCTCAGGAACACCCCAGGCTCTGTGGAATGGTGGTGGTGGTGTCTCCACAGTACCTTATATCCCAGAGGGTGCTGTGTGAATTGGGAGGGGATGTCCCCAGGATGCCCAGAACCTGAGGGTGCCCGATGCTCTGAGGGAGGGTTATATCATACAATTGTTATCATGGACTGCTCTGGTTTGCAAAGGACCGTAAACATCATCCAGTTCCAGCCTCCTCCCTCAGGATTCCCCATGCCCTGGGGCTGGCATGTGAGGAAGGATGCTCTGCACTCTGGGGACCCGCATGCCGGGGGAGAGGGGGCGCAATGAATGGGAGGGGGGTCCCCAGGACATCCCGAGTGCGGGGNCGCCGCCGTCCCCATGCCAGTCCCTGCCATGCCCACGCCATGCGCATTCCCTGTCCCTCCCCGGGTGCACAGTCATTGGCGATGCCAGGCTGGAGAGCTGCCGTGCCCTGCATTCCTTCTTGATTACGCAAACAAACCCACCAGGGGAAACTGGAGAGCAACTGGAAACTGGAGGTCTAATGGACCCCCACGGTCAGCCTAAGGTGCCCACAATAGTCCCTTTACTCCAAAATATTCTTTACAACAATGCCAGAAGCTGGCAGGCAGCATGAGACCGTGCCCGTGGGCAGCCTGGTATTCCTCTGCTGGAAAAGGCAATGCCAGCTTTTGCTGCCCATGCCAGGGGGCAGAGGAGGATGTAGGGGACAGCTCTCACTTCTGTCCCCAGCCCGATCCCACAGATGTGGCCTGCTGCAGAGGGAGAGTATGGGGGCAGTAAGTGAGGCACAGGGACCCCAGAGGGACCCCAGAGGGACACGGGAGCTCCGGCCAGGCAGCCCGGGCTCGGGCAAGGGACAGGAAGCCCGGCGGGGGCCGCGGGGCTGCACAGCTGGCCGGATCCCGGTGCCAAGATTCCCACCTCTCCTTACAGGGTGCAAAGTGCTGGGAATCCCGCTGCAGGGACAGCCGTTCGCACCCACTTTGCCAAGGTGCTGAAGACAGCAGGAGGTGCCTGCAGTCAGGGAAAGGGGGGGGAAGAGGAGGAATACGCCAGAGTGGGGGGGAGACTGTGTTTCGGTGGCACATCTGCTGTCCCCGCAGGCCACCCAGATGTGCTCGGTGGGCACCCCCAGGATGTCAGTGCTAGCATGGGAAGCAAACCTGGCCTTCCAGGGACAGGGAGGGGGGTCCTAGCCCCCTTTGAAGCCCCCATAAAAGGGTCTGGCATAAAGGAAAGAGAAAGTCAAAGGAACAAAGAGAGCGGCTAATCCCGGCGTGAGCAAACAGCCCCGTTTGCTCAGGCCGCAGCTGGCTCCGGGGCCAGGGAAAGGAGCACAGCGNGTGGCCGAGCTGGGGGAGATGGGCACCCGCCCCCACCAGCACAAGCGCCTGCTCAAGGGCTTCTACAGCACTGAGGTGAGCTGGGCACCCGCTCAGGGCACCACACAGCAGGGGCTGGGCCAGACCTTATCCCCACCCTGGTGCCCCTCTCGCCACAACAGGCTCAGGGCGTGGTGAAGGACCTGGATGCCGACCTGCTGCAGCACCTGGCCCAGGGCACTGCTTTCCTGCAAGTCAGCACCAAAGCTCACCCCAATGGCGAGATGCGGGGACGGGTAGGTCCCCATCGGGACAGGGCACCCTGCCCACCCCCACTGATGCCTGTGGCAGGGTGGCACTGCCTGGAGCAGGGTGGAAGGGCACAGGATCACTCTGTCACCAGGTCCTGATGTATTTAGTGGTCACGGATGGTTCCTTCACCAGCCTGACCATGGAATGCAGCCAGGCACCAGCATAGGAAGTGACATCCTGCTCATTCCCTCTCCAGGTGCACATTCCCAACCAGTGCCATGCAGGAGGGACCCGCCTGGCCCCAGGGGAGTCCCTGGGTCAGGCTGAGCTCTCAGAGAGCACCAAGACCAGGGACCTGGAGCAGCTGAAGAAGGACCCCAACTCCTGCTTCTTTGAGGGTCAGCACCGGGCACATGGCACCCGCTGGGCACCTGACTATGACAAGAAGTGCTCTATCTGCAGCTGCCAGGTACGAGCTGGGGGTTGTGCTGAAGGGGCAGCACCCATCAGTAATGCCCCTCTCTAATGAGCCCCATCTCTGCTGTCCCCAGAAGCGCACAGTGATCTGCGACCCCATCTTGTGCCAGCCCCTCAACTGTACCCACCAGGTGCACCCCGAAGAGCTGTGCTGCCCCATCTGTGAAGGTACCTGGGAGTGGGCTGGGGGGCTCCTTGTGAAAACAAGGTGGGGTGTCCCTTTTGGAGACTTTGCCATGTGCACCCCCTCATGGCCTTCCTCTTCCTTGTAGAGAAGAAGACAGAGCAGGAAGAACTGAAGCTGGAGCGGGCACGGGACAGCAGCGAGGGTGAGTCCTTGTGGGCATGGGCTGAGAGAGCAGCTCTGCAAAGGCTGAGTCACAAGGCCTGTGATTTCCTCTTCTTCTTCTTCTTCTTCCTCTTCCAGGCTGCTACTTCGACGGTGACAAGACATGGCGAGGCTCTGGCACCCGCTGGCATCCTGTCGTGCCCCCGTTTGGCCTCATCAAATGTGCCATTTGTACCTGCAAGGTGGGTGTGGGCTCCAGACATGCCCCCCAGCCTGGTCTGGCACCTGTGGGGGCTCTCAGTTCCCAGGCACTGTAGCTGAGGCTCAGACCAGGGCATGGGGAGCTGACTGCCCTGTGCCCTCCCTGCAGGGCACCACAGGTGAAGTGCACTGCGAGAAGGTGCAGTGCCCACGGCTCACCTGTGCCAACCCCGTGCGCGCCAGCCCCTCTGACTGCTGCAAGCAGTGCCCAGGTACCTGCACCCCTCTCCTGCCCTCCACTCCCCTGCATAGCTCCCGTATGCCCCACTGGCAATGCCACAGGCGGGCATTGTCCCAGTGGCGTCTCGTGCAGCCCCAGAGAGGAGTGTCCCGGAGCTGGCTGACTCCATGCAGGCAGATGCGCCGCGGTCGTGCCGCTTCGGGCGCCGCTGGTACCTCAACAACGAGAGCTGGCACCCGTCTGTGCCCCCCTTTGGGGAAATGAAGTGTATCCTGTGCTGGTGTGTGGTGAGTGTGCCAGCCTAGGGCAGCTCCAGGGGAAGGGAGGGCGCCACTGTGCCAGTCCCCAGGGCTTTGGGAATGGTGGGAGAGCAGCTCAGACACGCAGTGCACCCTGAGGAGCTGCTGTCCCCACACCCTGGTGCTCAGCCCCTCTTTCTGCTCCCCAGTCGGGGGAGACGCACTGCCAGCGCCAGGAGTGCCCCCCATCCGCCTGCGCCAGCCCTGCCACGAGGGACAACCCCTGCTGTGCCAAGTGCCGTGGTGAGTGCAGCGCTCACACACAGGCACCACTGCCCGAACGCTCGGTGGCACTCCCTGCACCTCCCAGTCTCCTTGGTGCCGGCACAACCACCCCAAGTGCCCTGCTGGCACCCCCTGTGCCCATCTCTCAGCCACACCTTTCTCCCCCAGCCCTTGATGCCCCCTCAGATGCACGGGAGAAGGTCCAGGATGCCAAGGTGGAGTCACGGAGCCACTGAGCAGTGACTGCTGCCCAGAGCGGGGCACACACGCGGTGATGCTGGGTGGCACTGGGGGTCCCACTGCTCACTGCCCCTGCCTGTGCAGGGTGGGGGGCACAGAGGAGCACAGTGGGGTGCACAGGGCCTGGCCCCCAGCCTGGCCACCCCATCTCAGCACGACTGCAATGCCAGGACTGCCCTGCCCTTGTGCAGGGGGCAGTGGCCAGGCTCATGGAGGTTGGGGCACCCGCTGCCCTGGCACTCCAAGCGCCCCGGCCGGCGGGCATCGTGCCCGTATTGTACATAGTGTAAAGTCCTTCTGGCCCCTATTTGCTGCACCCACCCTGTCTCAGCCGGGTTTCTCACATAATTTATGGTGCCAGTGGATGGAGGTCAAGATGTATTTATTAAAACCAGAGCTATTGCCCACCTGGTTCCTGTCTCTTCCTAGCAGCAGCAGGCACAAGGCTGTGCCCTCACATCCCATGGGGAACTTGCAGGCCGTGGCATTGCTGGGGTTGGGGATGTATATTTGGGAGTATGAGGTGTGAAAGCCAATGCCAGGATGAGGACACCCCATAGGCTGTGGGCTGGCACTGGAGAAGACCAGAGCAGTGTACAGTGCCCACAGCTGGAGCCACGATGCCAACCTCTGCCCACGGTAGAGGCTGCCAACACAGATGGTGCCTGCTAGCACAGGGATGCCAGGACTCTGCTCCTCACACCTCCAGGTGGCAAAAAGAGCCCAGCCTGGGGCCCCAATCCAGCTGCCACCCATGGAGGCCCTTGTCCTGCAGCACCCATAATCAGCTGCGTGCCCAGGGCTGGGCACAGACACCCATGGCTGTGCAGAGCAGACCCCTGTGTGTGCTCTGGGGCAGCACAACCCTGGTGACCCCAGTACAGCTGCACTGGGCTAAGGCTGACCCAATGCTGCCTCCTGCCCTTTGATTCCTAATGTGGAGGACTGAGGGATCTCTGGGGCCATTTGCACTGTGCTGGTACACACTGGTATGACTGGGACATTCAGAGCTATACTGGGCTATACTGGAACAGTGCTAGAGCTGTAGGGACAGTAACACTGGGCTTTACTGGGATAGCAATAAGGGATGGTGGCACAACCACAACATTGTAATGGGACAGTGTCAGCCTGTACTGGGGCTGCATCCAGGGTGACATTGGGCTAGACTGGAGCAGCGGTAGAACAATAGAAGGATGGCACTGGGGCACAACTGGGCTGGGACAGAGCCCTGCATGCCAAGCTGGGTGTCCTGCTCTGCATGCCACCCAAAGCCATGCAGACACCTGTGCCAGCAGGGTGGCATCACCTGTGGTGGCCCTGCAGTATGCTGGTGGTGCACAGCCAGGCACACTGGTGGCACTGGGCAGAGATGTGTCCTGGCACAGGGCTTCCCCTCCGGATGAACATCCCTGCTGCCACGGGGCAGTGCCAGGAGCTGACGAGCAAGAGGGAGCTCCGTGCCTGGAGATACAATGAGCGGGCAACCCATTTTGTCACCTCCCTGCCTCAAACTGGTTCACGTCGGGCAATGAACCCTCCCAGACTGGCACAGGAGATATCCCAGCCCCCAGCCCAGCCATTGTCACCCACCCTTGAGGGTGCCGACGTCAAACCAGAGGGTGGCACCTGGGCAGTGAGAACCAGCCCGCTCCCGATCCCGCAGCATCAGCCCAGCAGTGCCACAGCTCTGCCTTTCCCTGCACCCAGTTCCTGCCACAGAAGTGCCATCCTGTGCCCTGGGGAGGAGGGTGAGCGTGGCCCTGCCAGCTGCCGTGGTGCCCTGTCCCTGAGCCCGTGGTGGCAGTGAGGCAGAGGTCCCGGCAGCCAACCTGCCATGCCGGAGCGCCTTCCCCAGGGATTGCTGGTGCCAAGGTCTACCCGTGTGCCTCTCTGGAGAGGACTGAGCCTCTGCTGCCCAGCGACTTCAGCAAGGAAGAGTGGAGCCCACCTGTCTCGCTGGGGGCTGGCAGTGCCGGGACGCTGAGCAGCATCACGGTAAGGATGAGCTCCCTGACAGATCTGCGTGGTGAAGTCCCCACAGTGCCAAGGTGCCCTGCCCTCCTTGGGCCCTGACAGCTGCCCCCTTGCCCTTAGAGACAAGACAGACCTCAGGCACTCTGCCCCCACCAATCTGTCCCCCAGCCGGGCATGGCCATGAGCGTGGGGTGACCGTCTGCAGGGTCATCCCACATCCGACCCGGGGGAACCCACGGGGAAGCAGCTCCAGCCCCACGGCAGCCCCTTGTACCTGTGGGAAAGGGCGCACGGTGTTCTGGGGGAGCCGGCCCGTGGTCACCTCACCCACTGCAGCTTTTACCCCCACCTGCACCCACCGGCTGCCCTGGGTGCCATCCTGGCAAAGGCCGCGGTGGATGGGGTCCCGCCACAGGCCGGAGCTTCCGGCCGGACTGCCGCTGACCCGGCCGGCACCGCGTGCCCAGCGCCGCCGGTGCCGGTAACGGGCGCCGCCGGTGCCGGGCGCTGCAGGCGGAGGCGGAGCGCGGCCGATCCCTCCCCCGGGCAGTGCCCCGGGCCCGCCCCGAGCGGTCCGGGAGGAGCCGCGGCCGCCGCGGGCACCGGCAGCGGCACCGGCACCGGGACAGCGCGGAGCGGAGCGGCGGCAGCGGCGGCACCATGGCCTCCGAGAGCGAGCCGCAGCGGGCGCTGCAGTATGAGCAGACCCTGGTGAGTACAGCGGCACCGGGCGGGCACCGAGCACCTGTGCCGCACGGGACGGGACGGGGCGCGATGGAACGCCCGGGGGTTGGGGGGGTCTGGGGGTGCTGCCCCGCTCGGGGCGGCAGAACTGCGCGGTGCCCTGTTTGGGATGCTGCCTCCTGCTTGGGATGTCACCCGCAGCCCCCTCCGGCTGTGGAGGAGCCTGGCTGAGCCCCCACCCCCAGGGCAGGACTTCTGCACGCCCCTCACCACCCCCTGGCACACCCCTCTGCCCCGGGAGGGGATGCCCACCCTGCGGGGCCCCGGAGGCGCCAGCCGGGCACGCTTCTCTCCCCCGCGCTGCCCGTCCCGGCCCTCTGCCCCCGAGATACGCTATCTCCCCTGCCTGCAACCTTAGCCCCATGTTTACAGCTCCTCTGCCTCAGAGGCCTCCCCACTGGCACCAGGCTGTCCCGTTGTCTTGGGGTGTCTTCCTTGCCCGTTGTTTTCCCAGCCACCCCGCTGCCCACGGCCCTCAGACACCACGGGCAAAGGTTCTTTTCCCTGGCCCCAGCTTGGGACGGTGCCCAAGGCGGACGGTACTTTGCCCTGGCAAAGGCATTTGGACAGGCAGGGCCAGGGAGCTGTGCAGGGAAGCAGGGACTGCGTGGCCACGGAGTTGTGCCCACGGCTGCCCAGGCCGGCTGCTGTGTGCAGGGCGGGCTCTGCTGAGCCTTACCCACCCAGCATGGGCACACTGGGCAGCGTCAGGGCATTGCTGCTCTGTGTATCCTCGGCACTGCCTTCCCCAGCACCCAAACCTTTCCTCTGGCTGTGCCCCTCAGCACTCACCCCAAGCTGCCCCTGCCAGGTGGCTGCAGGACAGCAGCCGGCCATGGGAGCCCTGGCTGTGCCGTCATCTCCACGGCCTTGCTGACCCCGCTGTCCTTCCCGGCAGGGCTGAGTCAGGGAGCACTCAGGGGCAGGAGCAGGGGTGAGTGCTGGCCGTGCCTCTCCCTGCCGCCAGCTCCGGAGGGCCCCCCTGGGCGCCCTGGTCACGGTGGGTGAGCAGAGAGGCCGTGCCAGCTGGGCACCGCGGGGCGGAGGAGCCTGCGGGCAGCGCGAGGGGAGAGGCACGCTGGGCTGGCATCAGGGCAGCCGTGCTCAGCACCGGCAGACTTTGCCCTCCTTTTCTTTGGGCAGGGTAGCACCCGTGCCCTGAGTGCTCCTGTGCCCATCCCCGTGGCCTCTGGGCTCAGTGAGGCCCGTGGAAGCGCCTGGGGCTCGTGGGTGAGGCTGGGCGTGGGCTCCTGCCCCATAACCTCACACCTGCGTTTCGGGAGTTGCCTGGGCACGTGCTGGGCAGGAGGAGTGCCCAGCCCTCCCCAGTGCATCTGAGGCACCACCAGCTCCTGCCAGCACCTGGCAGGAAGATCAGGATACAGCTGGAGCCTGGCATGGGCTGGTCTGAGCTGGACAGCCTGGGGACAGTTCCTGCTGCTTGTGCCCACAGCCAAGTCATCACAGCCAGGCTGCAGGTTGTGCCCAGCTGCGTCCAAAGGCCTTTGTCCCTACCCCATGCCCTTTCCCTCACTAGATTTCACCAGCCCTGGGATGCCATGGGTCTTGGGGCCCCAGACCTAAAGGTCTCCCTGGAGTCCCCATTCTTCACAGGTGTTTGTGGGAAGCCCTGACATAGCAAGGGTGCTGGGGTGCACATCAGCCCCAGTGTCCCCCACATGCCAGGCTGTCGTGTCAAGGAGCAACGGGCCCCGTGGGGGGGATTAAGCTTGACAAACTGCCCTTGTTCATTGCAGAGCCGCTCAGGGTGATTAGAGCCCGGCTAAGACGGGCAGCGTGACACACACCCCCCAGCCTCTGCCTGCCCGCTGCCAGCCCAGAGGACCCCCCAACCCCCTAGCTTTAAAAGCTCTCCTAGGGGAAATTTAGGGGAGAAGGATGGCTGGCATTGGGTATGAGGAGGTGGGCACCCCTGCCAGGCAGGCTCAGTGCTGTGGGACAGGCTGGCACGGGGACACAGCAGCACCAGATGCCAGTGCCCGCCCCAGGCGCAGCATCGCCCGGGCACAGCGGGCACCACGGGCTGGCAGAGCCAAGGGGCTGTGGCACAGGCAGTGCCTGCAGCGCAGCAGCTCAGGACCAGCACAGTGGCCTTGGCCCGTGCCCGTGTCCCCGAGTGCCCCCCGGCAGCCCCCCCTGTGCCCGCTCCCTGCCTGCCCGGCACTGTGATTGTTCAGCTGCTTCACGGCAGAGGCCGGAGTCCCGGGGCTGTTTGTGTTTCAAAAGGCCTTTGTGGAAAAATAACCCAAGCGGAGGAGGAGGAGGAGGAGGAAGGAGAGAGCCCACCAGTGGCTTTCACAGCCATGCCAGGGCTGTGGGCACAGTAGCTGTGGCTGCTCAGCACTGGGCACTCATGGGAGTCCCATGTTCTGCTTGTGGGCCTGTGGCGTGGGGCAGAGGGGTGGCAGGGGATGGCACAGGGTGGCAGGTGGCAGCAGAGTGGCATGGTCCCTTTGCTTGTATCCCTGTTTTACAAGTGGGGTGGGCTCCAAAGGGAGGCAGAGGGGGAGCAAATCCCACCACCCTCAACCAGGCTGGAGCACTTGGGACTGGGCATCCCACGTGTGCCCCAGCACCTGGGGGACGGTGTGGCAGCCCCTGGCACAGCCCCAGGAGGTAGACACGGAGCTGGTTTGGGGGGCATTCAGCCTGGGGGTGCTTCCATCTTGGTTTGGGCTGGCCATGGGTCAGCAGTGGGGCCAGGCAGGCAAGTGCTTGGCAGGGTGACAGCACTCCTGGGGTGCCGGCCCATTTCATCTTCCAGACCAAACAAGCGTTTTCCAAAGGGAGCCTTTGAATTCAAGACCCCGTGCGGGGCCGGGGTCCTCCTCTGGCAGCCGATGCTGGGGTTGGCCCCTCAAGGTGGTCGTGCCTTTCCCCCCAGCTCTCTTCCACAGGGCAAGGAGCATCTGAGCCCATGCTGAGCAGGAGTTTGGGGGAAAATCCATGCCAGGACAGGGTCAGCAATGGAACTTAGATCACCCTCCTCTCCCTGCCTACATCCCCACCCTCCCTCCTGCTGCTGGGCACAACCTGGGTATTAGAGAGCAGAGAATCCATCCGGCGCCGCTCTGGCTGCTGTCTGCTCTCTGCCCAAGGGACCTGGGCAGGAGCGCTGCCCCGTCTGCACCTTCCTGCCATCCCCACGGGGAGCTGCCGTGTGCCA